TCGGTGGTCTGCCCGCTGCCAGCCGCCCTCCGCACCACCGGCTCCGGCCACCCTTTCGCGTCCCGCTGTGCCGAGCTCGGCGGCTGAGCCTGGCCTCGGGGAGTCTGTCTTCCCCCTCCCAAAGCCCACAGCTCCCCGCTGCTGAGCTTGCCCCTTGGTAGTGTGTGGGAGCCATCAGGGGGGGTGTTGGTGAGCCGTGTTTCCCTCCAGGTGTTTTTGGGAAAGGTTTGCCTGACTGGTGTGTAGGTAAATGGCAATGAAGCGTCGATCCCCGTGTAATACTGAAAAACGGTTACTAGTTCAGTTTATTTTGTATATTAGTAATGTGTGTGGTTTGAACACTGATGCTTCAGGGAGTTTGATGCAGTGCTCATTATATGCGATTAAAAATATGATTGAAGGATATTTAATTTTTTCTTCTATATCTAATTTAATATAAGGAATTACACACAGTGTTGTGTGAGAGCTTAAGGTCTGGCTATCTCTGAAAACTTCCCAAAACTTGATCCCTATGGTAATATGTTTTAAAATACCTAAAACTTTTTTCTGCATTACGGATTTTCTAAAGCCTGCACTTTCATAGTTACTTGCTTTTAACATGCTTTCTTTTTTGTTTAGTGGTAGAATAAGAGCTTTGGAAAGAAATAAGATCACAAAGAAGACTTTAGAACTGGCACAGCAGTACTTCTTACCCCCCTATGCTTTCCAGATTCGAGTTGGTGCTCTGTACCTTTTGTACGGGCTCTACAGTACGCAGGTTTGCCAGCCAAAACAAAAGGTAATTGTTCTTGATGTTTTATTGTCAGGAGATACTAGACGTAGGATATGTGGTATAACTGTCATCATAGATGGGTAGGGCATTTTCTTTCATTTTCTTAAAAATATTTAGAACCAGATGGTCCCTTTGGAAAAAGTCACCTTTCAAACACCTTTGGATTTGAGAATTTACACAGTGGTGACTAAAATACTGCGTGTGCCTCCTAAATTGTAGCTGCATCTCAGAAATCTTGTCTGCGAGATAGGAAGCTCTTCTCTGTTCAAAAATGAAAAAGATGAGCTTTCAGAATGGGGACAGAAAATGTGCTCAGCTCTGCACAGAACTCCATTACAGCCTTAGCTATTCCTTAGAATTTCAATGTGATGAAGACTGGCTGCATGATTTCCAATTCCTGTTAACCAGAAGTGGAAACAGAATTCATAAATAGTTGAAAGGGCTAATGCCTGAATGACGTGTCTCCTTGCTGCTTCTGGGACAGGAGATCAGTATATAAAGGAGTTGGAAACTCAGTGCAGGAAGTGGTTTGAACTTAGAAACTGTGTGATGTATATTGTGTACATATGTGCAATTGAGTTCAGATTCTTTAAATAAGAAACTGAAGTTGAAGTATTCTACAATGGTGCCATTATATCTCATATCTTAACTTCAAAGAAGTCAATCCATTTTATGGGGATGAATTTAGGGAATTTTTAAAACACTGCTGGAACTGTTAGCCCAGGAATTATCAAAGAAGCTAATTGAGCTAGGGAGAAAATGAAGTGGGCAGAGCACATGGGAGAGAGGAAGGAAAGCAAGGAGCAAGGATACTTTTATGAGCATTTCACTGGCAGCAAATCATGGTAGGAGTATTATTTCCTAATCATCTAGTGATTGAGAGTCTTCTAGGTGTGTATTGTTTCAAGTATCTAGGAATGTGAAGAGTTAACTTTGTCAGATGTCAAAGAGGGCTTGTGTTCTGTGTCACTGTTAAAGAAAGCAAGTGCAGTGAGAATATTTAATACAACAGTATAATAAACTTCTCTGCATAAAATTTTGATAGTAGTAACAAATGTTATAGTAGGATCCTCTCTGTAGCTCTGTGCTCATGTGACATGCCACACCCTC